CCGCCTGTTAATCGTAAACATTGATGCTCACCATTTCTCATCCATTACCACTCACTATTGATGGATGCTGATGTTCGCTATCTTTTGCCGTTGGCCGATGATTATGATATTTGCCAACTGTTTGTCATCATCAATAGTTGATCGATTTTGATTTCCAGTCTTGTCCAACTACTGTCCACCATTGACCGACATTAGCAATCATCTTCGTTTGTCTACTGTTAATGTTCTTGCTTGTCATTGTTTGATATTAATACACGCTAATGCTTGCCATTTTCTTATGCCAATGTCTGTCATCTTCAACGTTGCAGTATTTTTTCAATATGCATTGAACCATTTTAAATGATTTAGGTTTGTTGTTTTTTTGTGTTATTCATGTAAAAAAAAATTCATCTTCTATGTGTAAGATTTTTGTGCAATGCTGCGACGATAAATTTATCTGACTCAGTGAATATTCTAGCAAAAAAATGATTATTATTATTTTCGTCAGATTATTAAAATAATATTTTATGGTGGAATTTGTTAAATTTGTTGAACTATTTGTCGGTCAACTTTTTGATTTGAAAATAATTTTTAAATTTAATTTAATATAAAAGGTATGTAAATTGAGTTTTGAAAGTAGTATGTTTTAATTTTCAAAAAATGAGACCAAATAGATCTCATTAGTTTAATAGTTTGCATAATCGTGTCTGATACCGCGAATACTACACATTCCCGAAAGATAAGTGTATACTTCGGCGATGGACCCAATCTTGCAAACTAAAAGATTTGTGAGATCCGTTTGACATGCGAACCTTTTATGTATTACCGAAAAGTTCTCCTATCGAATATAAAGATTAAGTAAGATTTATTTTACCTGTGCTCCAAGTTTTCTATAGAGACAAACCTCTACAGTTAATTACATCCCAAATAATAGTGGGTCACTTGAGAAAACTCTCGATAATGATCAAATGTACTAGTTTTTAAGAATTTAAAGTTTAGGTTTTCACGGTAGGGCATGAAAAATAAGTGAGAGTGACTCAAATAAGAACAATTATTTTCAGGAGTCCGAAGGAAGGAAAAAGTAGAGAACGTCACATCTCCTAAGGAGAATCCTTTGACTTCCCAAACTATCCTATTATGTGGCTGCGTTTTCGAGATAAAGTTATTTGAGTGTTCAATCCTGCCAATTTTATTATTTGGGACTTACATTTGCATAATACCCGATCATGCAAATAGCTCATAGAGAAAGGAGAGTTTACGTCGTACCGGACAACAACCTCGGAACCTAAAACGATTTAGGATTTATGTTGCACAACAAAGTTGCACAGAAGCCTAAAGAGGGTGTGAAAGTTCACGTCGCGCTGGATGAGTTTCCTCGAAGTCCTATGGGTTGTTATTGTTTAAACTAGTGAGAGATTGCTGAAGAAGATCCTCTTGTTGCTCGATCTAAGTTTCTTGCCGTGCTGCCTACAAATTTGGCTCCAAGCTCCTTGTTGAAGTAGCAATCCTAAAGTCTAAGGTTCAAAAGATTTTACCAATTATATTTCAAAGTTTTGGTTTTGTTTTCATTCAAACTTTATGGGGGGTTAAAATTGATTAGAGACTGATCAGGATCCCACCGTTCCCTTATTCCGACACCACTGTTTTCTTTTGAGTTCACATAGCCCAAATAAGTTGTTAAACTCATTTAAACTGAGAAGATCTCATTAGCAACCATGCGTTATCTCATTCGAGGGACTCTTGTAAATTCAAAAGTACGTGTTATGTTTTTGTTTTGTTTTGAAAATTTTATGTAATTTTTGAAAATTATTTTGTTTTTGAAAATGAAATTGCAACCGGGCATACGTGATATATATTAAAGCAAGAGTAAATTATAGTGATAAAAAATGACAATAAATAAACTGTACATGCGTATCTGTCATCTTCTCGTTATTCTCGCTGTGTGGTTAGCTCATAGAACATAATATATATTGCAGGAAATTTAAATAAATTGCAGAAAAAGAAAGAAAACAAGAATTCTAGTGTAAAAATTCTAGTGTAAAAAACAACAAAATGAGTCGTAACAACAGCTAGGAACTCTAGACAGTGATCCTAAGGCTTACTACAACTTCAGACAACAACTAGGAAGCCCAAACAGTGATTCTAGGACTTCTTATGACTCCAGACATCAACTAAGAACCCCAAACAGTGATCCTAAGGCTTCCTATGACTCCGGAGAGCGACTAGGAACCCCAAATAGTGATCCTAAGGTTTCCTACTACTCTAGACAGCATCGAGGAACCTCAAACAATGATCTTAAGGCTTCCTATGGCTCCGGACAGCAGCTATAAACCCCAAACAATGATGCCAAGGCTTCCTACAACTCCGGACAGCAGCTAGGAACTCCAAACAACAATTTAAAAGCTTCAAACAACACCTTACAACACTTAACATCTCCAAACAACAATTTAAAAGCTTCAAATTGCAATTAAAAGCCTCAAAACGATGGACAAACCGACACTTAAATGGGGCATCAAACCCCCTAAAAAACAATACATGAATCAACACCCGAGTGACATATATAGCTTCTAAAATCAGCTAGGCAGTCAACCCTTCAATCATAGGTAAAATGATACATCCAAAAGAGATTAAAGCTCATAGTGTTAGATGTGCAAATACCCAACGATTTGCATGCCACATATGTAAAATTTTCCATTAAAGGATAAGGAGCGAAGAATCATTTGATTAAGATATATGGCTCAAAGATAGCAAATTTCATTATCAAACATATGAAATTATCCTCCACCCTTTACAAATGATCACATAAAAAAAAGCTTAGATTTTTGCAAATAGGCCACTCAAAACTTCACTAAGACAAGTGCCCGAAACACTTTAAAAGTCACCCAAAACATCCTATTATGGTAGATTAATTGGGAATGGCAGCAAATGAGTCAAATTTGGATTTATACATGTCAAAGGTTTTACCTCGTCATGGAACTACTGTGCAAGCAAGAGTTTCAACTTAAAATTGCATCAATAAGTAATGTAGAGGTATTTCTCCACTTTGAGAAAGCTAAAAGAAAATGATAAAATTGTCTATGGGAATAACAATAAGCAGATTTTTACCAACATCCAACAGGCAGTCTCCAACCACATATGCCACGAATCAGAGAAACGGGTTTAGGCTTTACCTACTTACCGTGGTTAGGAGCAGAAATGAGAGATGGCGAGGGGGAAGGCGCGCTCTGGGAGAGAACAGAACGGGGAAGCTTGTTGTGCGTGAGGGCAAAATGAAGGTTCGACATCGAGTAATAAAGGGCCGAGCAGGAGTGGAGAGAATGGTGGCTTCAGTCGCGTGAAAGGGACGCAGGCGAGTGAGGGTCTTCGGTCGAGCGCGGGAGTTTTGACGGGATGAGGAAGGCATTGGCTACGGGGAGAGTGAGACGGTCGAACAGGAGGCAGAGGGCTTCGGCTAGGGCTGTGATCGAGAGAGGAAGGGAGTCAGACGAGGAAGGCGATGGCTTCGGGGCGAGTGAGACGAGCCGGACATGAGGCAGAGGGCTTCGACTAGGGCTGTGATCGAGAGAGGAAGGCGATGGCTTCGGGGCGAGTGAGACGAGCAGCCGGGGCTTCGGTGCAAAGAGGGAAGGCGAGATCGAGTGTGAGAGGGAGGGGTTCAGAATCTACCTGTAAGGAAGGGGGAGGCCGAATCCTATAGCCACACTTTCAAAATGTCCGTTATAGGGCATTAGGCAGGGAATTGATGAATTTACATTTGTGGAGGTGTTTTATTTTGCCGGTAATAACTTCCAAATGAATTTAATTAGGGTGAAATTAAATGTATCATTTGAAATTTGAAATATTAAAATTCAAAATTGATTAGCCCTTGTTCAGCCCGAGTCCAGACTGAATTGAATGCGGGTTGAGCCTGAACCCGCGCTCCGCTAATTTTAAAAAGGTGCATCGATTTTCGTGTTGATTGCTCGCTTTCGGAACCATAGTGATATGAGTGTCATTTCTAGCTAAAGTCGATATCCCGGGCGCATCTGCGTAGCCCATTTCGTCATCCGAAGCATTCGAACAAGTTCGCCAATGGTTAGGTCAATTCATGTCAACATTGTGCGTGGTGCATTTAATGTGCAAGTTGCGGCGTTCGTGAGCGTTCGAGTCACTAAGGGTTTCCCTATGATTGCTCCTACTCATGCAGGCACTCGACTTGAGCTTTATTATGACAGTTCTAATCGACTCAGCGAAATGTCGAGGATCCAAAACCACTCATATGAGGCTCGAAGGAGTAAAGAGTTGGCTCAAATTTTCTAAGCGGTGTGGCTCCCAGTACTAGTGTTCTAGGAGGGTCAAATAAGAAAAACCTAAGGCTAGACCTTGGGCTATGAGGAGAGAAGTAAAGACCTCACCCAAAAATGGGTCAACACTATTGCTTGATCAAAAAAATTTGGAAGTGTTGAAATCATTATTATCACTTGGTATCCTGTTTAGATCTGAAGATCTCCTTGATTCAGCGAGTCAAATTTGTCCAAGTGGTGGCAAAGTCAGATCAATTTTAGCCAAGATTTACGTTATGGATAGGATTCTGAGAGTATGAATGAATTTAGCGTCTAAAAAGTGTCCTGTGAAGAATTATAAGTCTCTATGGCTTTCTTCATATGGGCGGTATAAATTCATTTGCATAACAGCAATGATACTTCCTTGCGAGAAACAATACGAGAAGTTGTATTTTAAGTATTTATGGGCTTTAGGTATCTAAAAACATTCTTGCTGCAAAGGAACTAATTGATTTGTAATGTGATTTTTCTTTTTGTTGGAGAACTACTTTATTAACCATTTTGTACAGAATTTTCTCTTTCGTTTTGATTATAATAATTTTTATTTTTGAAATAATTTGGAGAGCCCATTTTAGAGTAATAGCGGTAAGATGTGGTGAAACCAAGCCCACTCTAACTCTTAAGTATGTTGCAAATTCTTTTCTTTTATCTTTTTTCAAAATCATTTTGTTTCTAACTTTGCCATACTTACATTTGCAGCAACCAGCCGAAAAGAAGGATGTATACCAGATTTTTGCTGAGAAGGTTAGAGACAACAAACAATTAAAATCCAGATGGGCTATAATGCAAGAAACAAGGGTCGAGTATTTTAGAGGGAAGGACTTCCCGGTGTTCTTGAGAGATCACCGGGAGGTCAAGGAGATATTAGGGGCGGATAAAGAATTAGATGTGGAGGAAATAGTCAATATTCTTCTTAGTAAGAACCTTATAGTGAGATGTGATCGTGTGGTGAAAACTGTGAGGCCTGGGAAGAAGAAGTTGTCGTCATGGCCTGCACATCTGGAAATACATAATGTAAGTGCCTTTTAATTTTTATGTTAGTTTTGTTTTAATACTTAAGCTTGTTTTTTCTATCATGCTTAAAATGGTTTATCAAGTTTTTTACTCCTTAGTTCAAGTCATTTTAAAAATTTATATTTTACCTCACAAAATTATATGCTGGTTGGATGAAAATTGTTTAAGCACGATGAAAATGTTGATTGATGAATTCCATAAAAAATCTTCTGCTGGTATCATTATGAGTCCTATATCGCTTATTTGGTGAGTTCTTTTCTTGTTATCTTTTTCATCTATATATTTTTTGATTAATTTGCGTGCATGAATGTGTTTGGTCAAAACTCATAGCCTTTGGAATTTATGCTTATGCTGTGAATTTTTATCAATCATTAAATCATCATTGAAGCTCTATATTTTTCTTTCTTTCCATCAAAGGGATTAGTTTTTGTGTAAATTAAAAGTTTGTTTATTATGAATTGCCCGTCGGTGAGTGATTTTACACATGTCATCGTATATTTGCTTTTACAAACCATGAATCCTATGATGTATTTTATCAGATTTAGTATCAGAGTTAGACTTTAATAAAATGTTAAGTAGAAGTGAGCTAGTTAATAGACCATTAAAGAAATGTGATTTTTATAATTAACAAGATCAATTAGTTAATGTGCTCAACTAACAAAATCAAATGGAGATTGAAGATATAAATCAAATTATGGAGTGAATCAACGCTTTGTAAGTAAATCAAGTTTTCTCATAAAACCAATAATTGAATCTAATTTTAATTATGAACATATTCATATGCATATTTACACTGCTATGAGAAGAAATTTATCATGGGAGAAACTATCAAGATAAAGTATAATAGGGTATATGATATTGAAACTGATGGCACTGTATAATATGATATTGAAACTGATGGCAGTTGTAGATGCCGACCTTATGATATAGACAATGACATAACTTTGAAAGTTAAAATTGAGGCGTTCAAATTTGATGATAATTTTTTTTTTCAGATTGGGCAATGCATATAGATAGTTTTTTTGAATTGCAAGCAATGTTGCATTAATTTAATGTAAGATTTACACAAGTAAATTAAATTGGGCAAGCAAAACTTTATTGGACGAATATAAAAAATAAAAATAAATTGAAGAAATTTAGAACTACTTGTGCAGAAATGAATAATTGTTAAAGGAGAAATATCTCCCTTTGTTACATTACTATCAATTGCTTTATACATCTTAATTTAAAATATAAAATAAAAAACTATTACTGAATACATGAGCAGACTTGAGAAATTGTTTTAGCATTCTGAAAAGTTTATTATAATTCCAAAATAATCGAAGATCCTACAGAAACACTTACTAGGTTTAGATCTTGATTAGAATTGACATCAAATGAGAGATGGCCACTTCACATTTCTTCACTTCATTTTGCTTTAGATTTTGAGCAAATAGTAAAAGTTTTATGGGCTTGTCGGCACTATTTTTGGTGTGGGGTTTGCCCGTAAGAAGCTGTCGGCCATCGGAATTTGAAATCCCGTTGCCCGCTTCGGAAGGACGTTTTTTAAAAAATTTAGTTTTGAAAAAAGATGAAGTCAAACTGACCCCATAATTTTCATAGTTTAGATGAAAGAGCGCTTTATCTCAAATCATGTATCTATCCCGAAGGATGAACGCAAGAATTGAGAGTGAGGCTCGATCAAATAAACTAAAGAAAGTTATGACATCCGTTTGGTCTGCGAAACCAATGTATTGACCGACAAGTTCCCCTATTTAATATAAGGAATTAAATAAGGTTTAT